AGGTCATACCATGTTATACAGGTACAAGTGTCCTAAAATATGGGTATTCATATCTAACATAATGGATATAAATACCCATATCATGATTACTTAGGGTTCGTTTAATTCAAAGATGGAATTTAGGTGGAAGGAAAATAAATTGCATGGAATTGAATTGTCTAGAATTTATTTTATTGAGAATTGTCAATTAATTATCTTTGATTTGTATAATTTTCCAGGTAATGTTGAAATTTTTCATTTTCTGGTGTTCGTTTGATTTTATTTTTCATGAAAATTGTCAATTAAAGGGATATAGTTTCTTAAAATTTGAGATATAATTTGTTTGGATTGCAAAAAAAAAAGGAAAATTTTTGGCATTCGTTTGGCTTTATTTTACATAGAAATTGTCAATTAAATGGATAATTTTTTTTACAATTGGGGATAGAATTTGTTTCTATTGCCAAAAAAAAAAAAAAGATGGAATTTCAATTCCCACCTAAAAGGTTAGAATTTCAATTCAACTAAAACCAAGAAAATTAGCAAATGTGGAAAACCAATTCCAGAGAAAAAAAAGTGTCATCAAACATGACAAAAATAGGAAATGAAATTTCAATTCCAACTTCCATGAAAAATAAGGAGCTATCAAACAAGCCATTAGGACATTTGATTGTCAATATTTTTTATGAAAATGTGTTTTTTCACCTAATTTTCTATTTTTGTGCCGTTTAATTGACAATATTTTTCACGAAAAATATCTTCTTACTTTTGATCACGTGATCATATTTTCTTCGAAAACAAAGAAAATATTTTCTTTATGGAGGAGTGATTTTTATTTTCTATGTAATTCACTATCTATCACCTATCTCTCGTTTATAACATCTCCCTCATTTATCCATCAATAAAAAACAAACAAGTATAATATTTTCTAATCTGATCAATCAAATGCATTTAATTAATAATTTTCATACAAATAATTTATAGGCAATTGAATTGCTTAGAATTTATTATTTTTCGATGCAAATTTCATAATCGCAATTAAACCCACCCTAAATGATTTTGTCAGCGTTATTTTGAAAAGAAAGCATGCTATTTATTTCTGTCATCATCTTTTTGTCCTTTTCATTTGACAACAATTTATATTTAAATAAATTTGATCATGGAAATATAAAATAAAATATCGAAAATAAATGTTTTACGTCATAAGAACAACAACTCTAAAATATTGGTATGTCCACACTAAAAAATAGAGTTTACATGGATATTAATACCAATGCACGAAAGTATAAACCGTTTTGGTCAACTTGAGTTCGTCATCTGGAATCTTGAAAATCTATTTTTTTTTCCAACTTAAGCAGTATAAAAGCTAACTTGTAACTCAACATTAATCCAGTGATGGAGTAACAATTTAAATAGATGTGTCAGCAATGAGTTTTTTTTTCCTTCTCAATGAGTAGTTGATAGTCCAGAGATAATTAATGAGGTATTTAATTAACTCGACAATTAAATATCATCAATCTGTCACATTTGATATGTCGTATACGTGATAATTTTCGTCTAGTTGGAGTAACGAATTTCACTCCAATGATAGATTGGTAACTGTTCAAATAGATGAACGAGTAATAGGTAAAAAAATTCTGTACAATGAGTAAATGGTAGCGTAGAGGTAAGTTTAATGATCATTCATTTAATTAACTCATTAAATGAGTGGTGTGTTTATCAAAATTCGACCTATGTTATATTATGTGTCAAGACCATGACTTGTTGCATGATGATATTCACCAAGCAGTAATGTGTCATTTAAACGATTTAATTGATACATCATCTTAGTCTGATGTATACTCAGGTTTGTATGCGTCCGGATATAGCGCACATTGTTGGAATGTTAGGGAGATATTTAAGCAACTGAGGAATGGATTATTAGAAAGCAGCCAAATGAATCATGCGGTATTTACAGAGAACAAAAGACTACATGCTCACATACATGAGATCGAATCGGTTGGAGATCATCGATCATTTTGATTCTGATTTCACGGGATGCCAAGATAGTAGGAGATTTACTTCAAACTATATCTACCTACTTGTTGGAGGTGCTATTTCCTGAAAGAATGCTAAGCAGACACTCATAACTACTTCCACAATAGCAGCGGAGTTTATAGCATGTTACGCGGCATCAAATCATGGAATATGATTGCGAAATTTTGTCACTGGGCTGCACATTGACAGTATAGAAAGACCGCTCAAGTTATTTTGTGACAATAAATCAGTAGTGCTATATTCCAATTACAACATGAGATTGACAAAGTCAAAACATATAGAAATCAAGTTCCTAGCTGTTAAAGAAAGAGTTCAGAGTGAACATGTGTCAATAGAGTATATTGAGACAAACTCCATGGTTACGGATCCACTTACTAGGAGATTGATACCCAAGGTCTTTCATAAGCACGCTGCTCATATGAGTGTAATATCTCATGAAAATATATAATTTTAGTGGGAGTTAGTATTTCTGTGTTTTTCATTTTTGACACATGTATTGTTATTTTGGATATGGTTTATGGTTAAANGGTTAAAGTAATTTTAAGTTATAAAGTTTTTGGTTTATTATCTCTGAACTCATTTGAAAATAATCTTATTAAGGTATTAAGATGGACCAGTTAGAAATAGACATATTAAGATCACATCACATTTAATTTCCATGCTACACATCCATACTTGATCCATGTCGTTCAGTCATGTAAATATACGTGACAATTGATGGGTTTAGTTACGATATAAGTAGCGAAAACCGCTTTGATCCTAAGTTGATATGATTGATGGACCAGATTGTTTGGAGATGCATTTGGTAATTATAGCAAAATTCTAAGTACTCATAGGGTTATGTTTAATGCACAAATATAAGGTAACACAAATAACCCAAGTGGGAGATTGTAAGAATTTTAATCGAACATGTGGGCTTATATGTGAAATATTGTGTATTAAATTAAATGCCATCAATTTTGGTTAAACCCCGTTTAAAGTGATCTAATAAGGTTTCAGTATTTTGAATTTTGAAGCATTCAATTAAAGTATGAGCTTTTATGTGAAGAGACTATGCATGTTCATAATTTCATGATGAACCGAATTAGGTCAATGGACCGTTAGTGTGTGTGTGTGTGTGTGTGTGTGTGTGTGTGTGTGTGTGTGTGTACGGTTATGGTCCCCGGGTCATATGTTTTGGTTCATTCTATTCTGACTTCCATCTTCAGAGAGAAATAAATGAACAACGTGTTGATCTGAAAGACTAAAATAGCACGATTCATCTATTGCGATAACCATGTCTGATTCAGTACCCTTTAGCTTCAGTACACATATGCTTGATGATCCAACATGAACGATCATTATGACGGTAAAGTATTTTCCCAACAAATAGCTCATCCCCTTTGCACTTTAGAGCAAGCTTAGATTGCATATATACATCTAACTTTTATGTAGTGATAATTGACCGTTCACGAATCATGATCTATGAAGCATTTAGAGTAAATATATTAATTTCTTAATTGTGACTTGTTTACAATTCAGTGTGTTTAGGACCACAATTATTGTTTGTAAAATTCTATTCGATTGGGGCACTGTAAAGTGTCAATTTAAATTATGTTACCTATCTCGTTATCAAGAAAACATGTATAAAGACCAATCGTTTTTCTGTGTGTTACTGCCTCACGTCTCGTCCACTAATGTTTGATGTATTATTCAAAATATTTCGATTTTCCCAATATTTTTTCAAAAAGGCATGGGCCTATAAATACCGCCGTCCCTCTCTCTTAGGCCCCTCTCTCGTCTCCCTCTCTCTCGCTCTAGATCGCTCTCGATCCGAATTTTGGTTTTCAGCTTCTCACTATGATTTTATCACTGCAATAGTAAATCCTTAAACCCTCGTTAATTTCCCCCCCAAACTTCTTTAAAAAGAATTATGGTCCCCGGATCATATGTTTTGGTTCATTCTATTCTGACTCCCATCTTCAAAGAAATAAAGAAACAACGTGTTGATCTGGAAGACTAAAATCGCACGATTCATCTATTGCCATAACCATGTATGATTCGGTACCCTTCCGCTTCAATACACATATTCTTGATAATCTAATATGAACAATCATTATGACGGTAAAGTATTTTCCCAACAAATAGCTCATCCCCTTCGCATTTTAGAGCAAGCTTAGATTGCAGATATACATCTAACTTTTATGTAGTGATAATTGACTGTTCACGAATCATGATCTATGAAGCATTTAGAGTAAATATATTAATTTCTCAATTGTGACTTGTTTACAATTCAGTGTGTGTTTAGGACAACAATTATTGTTTGTAAAATTCTATTCCATTGGGGCACTTTAAAGTGTCAATTTAAATTATGTTCGTTATCAAGAAAACGTGTATAAAGACCAATCGTTTTTCTGTGTTACTGCCTCACGTCTCGTCGACTAATGTTTGATATATTATTCAAAATATTTCGATTTTTCCAATATTTTTTCAAAAAGGCATGGGCCTATAAATACCGCCGTCCCTCTCTCTTATGCCCCTCTCTCGTCTTCCTCTCTCTCTCTCGCTCTAGATCGCTCTCGATCCGAATTTTGGTTTTCAGCTTCTCACTAGGATTTTGTCACTGTAATAGTAAATCCTTAAACCCTCGTTAATTCACCCCCCCCCCCCAAACTTCTTTAAAAAGAACCCTAGAACTGAATTCCATTTCCTCTCTAGGGTTATCAGATCTCAATCTCGAATTTCACATATCAAATCCATCGAGAATTTCGGTTTTTGCTATCCAATTTGAAGTTCCCACGCAAAATGTAAGTGACCTCTAAGTGTACTCTTAATCCAGCAACATTATTATTATTATTATTATTTTTACCGTTGTTAAGCGCGCCCCTAGGGTTTTAAAAGTATTTGAATTAGAGCTGTGAGTTTTCGGCGGCAAGGGTTAAATTTTAGAGCTGCGTTCCAGTAGGGTTTTTCGACGTAAAAACCCTAAATGATTCTAGAATCTGAACATGAGCGATGGAGGTAAAGTGGAGAGTAAGATAGGGAAAGAGAGTCCAATTACTCGAGCTGGTGAAAATGACTTCGGCCGAGCAATATCGAAAATTGCAGTGGCACAGATATGCGAGAATGTTGGGTTTGATAGCTTTAATGAGTCAGCACTTGATTCTCTTGCTGACTTGGCAATCCGTTACCTCCTTGACCTAGGGAAAACTGCCAAATTTTATTCAAATTTAGCTGGTAGGACTGAAAGTAATGTGTTTGATATAATTCAGGGGTTAGATGATTTGGGCATGTCGTCAGGGTTTTCAGGTGCTTCAGAGGTTGAAGTTAATTGTGCAATTAGTTCGGGTTTTGTAACAGAGATTAGAGGATATGTGGAGTCAGCTGATGAAACACCCTTTGCGCAGCCAGTTCCACATTTTCCGGTGGCCAGACAATGGAGATTGATACCAAGTTTCTTGCAGATGGGCGAGACACCTGGCTTTAAACATATTCCAGAGTGGTTACCTGCATTTCCTGATCCCCACACTTATATACACTCAGCCATGTGGAATGAAAGGGTTTCCGATCCTCGCACAGACAAGATTGAGCTAGCAAGGCAGCATAGAAAGGCAGAGCGGGCTTTGTTGAGCTTGCAACAGAGACTTGTGTGTAATGGGCTGCCAATGGCTTCAACATCTGCTGAACCAGATGATGATTGGAATGGGTTGGAAGTTAATGATATTAAGAACCAAGTTTTGGCTAATCCTCTAGAAGATGAAGAGCAAGACGAGTCTCCTGCTATTCTGTCTGGTAAGCTCTCTGGTGAAGCAAAGATGGAAAATCATGTTTCTTTGCTGGAGACGTTTGCTCCTGCTATTGAGGCAATGAAGGATGGGCTTTCTGATTCTGGAAATGATGGAGAGAAGAATTTTTTGAGTAAGAGGAGGCCTGCTAAGATTTCTGGTGAGGCGCACACGGAAAAACATGTTTCTTTTCTGGAGACATTTGCTCCTGCAATTGAGGCAATGAAGGATGGACTTTCTGATTCTGGAAGCTATGGAGAGAAGAGTTTCCCTGGCAAGAGGCCTGCTGTTTGTTTGGAGTTCAAGGGATGTAAAAAGGTTTTTGGTGAATCATTGGATTTGAGGATCCGGAACAAGAATTTTGGTAGAACAGCACCCTGGTTTGGACGCGAGGACGAGAAGGATGACAAGAAGAGGAGGGTTGAGTTTATACTGAGACAATCCATGGAAAATCAACAGGAGCTGACTTAGATGTATATTAGTTAGTAGTTCATTGATTGACTTGGTGGAAGGGAATTGTCATACTCTGTTCAGAAAAGTAGCAGTTGATTAGGTTAGTCAAAACATGAACTGTAGCTCGGCTTGTGAATGTGTTGAGAATGCATTTAGGAACTGGACCCCTGTTTTTCGAGGTACGCAAATGGTTGTTTCAGATTTCTCCATTCATCTATAGTGTGATTTTTTCACAAAGGAAATTGTAACTTTCATTATTTTTTATATCGATATGTTAATCTTAGCTTATGCATTTTATTCTCTGCTTTTGATGATCTGTTGGTCATGAACCTTATTTTATAGCTTACATGTCATTTAAGGTAGATCTCTCCAAAATCTCATGTGGTGCAAGTAAAAGTAAATAATTTACTCGTGGACATCTGCACAAGGATATTACAGTTTCTTCATGAATCCCTATCACCTTTCAACATATAGGAAAGAAACATCTAGGGTTTTTCTTTGTTGGACCTGTTCAAAAAAGTTTCTGTGCACATCCCATCCATTCCAAACTCCAAATAGGTTCCCTAAAAACTGGCAGCCCTCGTCAAAAGTCTTTGCTTGCTGCTTGTTTCTACTTTCATACACGTGGATACTTTTTTAATTCCTAGCCGATGTGCCACACTTTGGTTTGTTGCGGATTAATTTTGACTGAAACCTTATATAAATCATTACTTCAGCAAATATTGCAACAAAGAAAAAGATATAAACTATTAATTATTAATTTCCTAATTAATTACATGTATTTGTTCAATCTACACCTATAGAAAATTGAAAGAATTTCTTTGATCGGCACACATTATACATGAACTGAACTTTTGTCTGAAATTTCAAATAACTGTCTTATAACTTTGTTGTTATTTATACAGAACGGATTTTAAATAAGCTAATCATAATTTCCTTCGGTGCATAAGAGAAACGGCGGGTACAAATCATAAAGCAATGATGTAATTAAAAATAAAAGATACATTCCCTTCATCGTTCATCTATAACACTCACTGTTTTATCAAGTAGGCTTAATTATGAAAAATGACATCAATAAAGCGTCTATACTAGGAAGAAAAACTCAACATGTAAAATAAAAGGGATAGATTCATTATTATGGTAATGAACCACAAACCATGCAAAACTCCTATTTTTGTTGCTAATGGAAATTAAGAAAACACACGATTTACCAAAAATAGAAATTCTCCATTTGTTAATAAGTGCGTTAAATTACTAACAACAAATCTATGCTATTCTCCATCTATATACATGCTAGCAAGTCAATTATATCTTTTGAGAGCGTACATAATGCCATATGACATGCATGATTTTGGTAAATAATTTACTCGCGGAAGGAAATGGGTGGTACGATGTTCTTGATAAGTTGATTTTGATAAATAATATAAATGAAGGAAAAGAAACAGGGTGAGGGGGCATTGATATATATCAAAATATTATTCCAACTTCTGCTGTAAAAGATATGAATCTTGACTTATCTTTTGTGGTCAAATATAAACATATAACAAATAAAATGTGATGAAAAATGGCGAAATAAATGATAAATTAAGAAACTATTGGATATATCTATGAAAATAGCAAATTACTAAGGAAACATTTTTTGGTTACCATGCTGCTTTGACAATAAGGTCGTTCAAAATGGTATTTTGGGAATTCAGTTGAGCAAATGTGTGTTCCCCTCATTTCTGGACAAAATAAAATAATCCCTTCTTTTTTCTTTGAGGTTGAACTATGCATTGTTTACTTAAAAGTGTGCGATGGGAATCTTACTAGAGATAGTATTTCTATACTTTCCAAATTAGACATTTATTTTAGGAAATATTACTAGTGTTTGATTTAATAGATTTAGATTTTATAGTATTTTCTTACTTCAACTAGGATTAGTTTAAACCCTATATCAACGAACGGCATAACTTTGATAATGAAATAAAGATAGTTTCTGTCTTAAATGCTGCTTCTGTTTGTCTAATTCTTCTCCCTTTCTATCTCCTCTTCTTCTCTTTCCACTGCTTTTGTTCTTGTTCTATATTGCACGGTTGCACCCTACGTCAGTGTGTCATAACTTTTAAACTTATATTTATGCACTTTTTCTAACTCGGAATGAATGGGAAATGCGAGATGCAATCATCTTTTGTTTACAAAATATTTTTATATATTTGTTCAACCTCAACCAATGACTTGCCTGCTCGGGCTGGGTCTCATAACCTAGGAAAGTATATATTTGGTTAAAAAATGTTGCTCATATATATATATTTTTATGTTATTTCTGTTTCTTTCTTAGCCTAGTGGAAGAGGTTCAAGAGGTTAAACTGTAATCTAACTAGAGCAATGCATGCCTTTTCATAAATCAACTTCGAGCAAGGTGATATCCTAGAAAGGTTAATGGGTTTGAAGTTAGGAACTGTTTACATTTAGTTTCCACATTTTAGGTTAGTTTGAAGATAGGAATTTGCTGCAACCTGACCACCATCCCCATTCCCCTGATGGCTACTCCTGCCATATTTCACCCCCAACAGCAATTAATACGTCACTTCTCAACCATTAGCTACATCGGTTGGGAAACTCAAGTCTATTTTACTTTTTCCCCTTTCCATGCAGTTCATTGGTGTTCTCAGCATTAGAGTGGGCTATTTCTAAAATTTGTAGTGTGCGCAAAGTTAATTATTTGATAGTAATATCAGTAACAACATTTATGCTGGGTTTTGCAACTTGGATTTAGGATCCATTAGAAATCCAGCGTTTGAATTTGTAGTTGTCACGGGAATTTTAATTAAATACACAAGCATGTACTGAAAGGTTTTCTTTTATCTTTTTGTCGTTTTCTAATTTTTCTTTCTTTTGCTTTTGTTCTCTTACATTCTGTTTTTGGAGGCTGGGGAAGTGAATTTGGGTCTCTTATCTCCTCCAATGCTTTATTTTCTGATTTTCTCTAATTCTTCCTTATTTAGTCATTGCAACATACTAATTGTTATTTTGCCTTCGTTATTCATATAGAAGAAAAGGTATCACTATTCAGTTACCTTTTTGTGTTTTTCAAAAATAATCTTAGCAGCGATATGATGTAGATGGGTTGGTTATGCATTACTGTGCCTTTGTAGTGTATTCATGTGCTGATTTTTGTGTTTCAGAAGTTTTCACATCTATGGAAGAAGATTTGAAAATCAAATTGGGCTTTTCTCTCGATTATCTTATTGGTTGGGGACACCTTTTCTGTTATTAATTTTTTAATTTCTTTTGGGTCAAGGGGAAAGGCCTGATACCGAAATTTTAATTCCCTGATGAGTTAAGCTAATAAAGGGGCATAAAGCATTTTACTGTTCTTATTCATCTTGCAAAGTCTAGCCTCTGTATGCCATAAATTCTAATTCTAACTTCAGGAAAGCTTTGCTTGCGTGCACATTGGTAGATTTTGGTATTCCGTTTGTGGTTTTTCGCAGTTGAATACTGGATTACACAAAGTGTGACATTGCAGCCTCACTTGAGATGGTATTCCAGTGTCTGGAGTTCCTACAGGTCTCTTTCGGGGAACTCGTTCACCAGGTGTTTTCTATTCCTCGGTGGTCATTATAATTTATTCTTTTACCCCAGCCTGGAAGCTAGTGTATATTTGAAATGCAGTCTCGGAAGGTATAATGAACAAGATTTATGTTTTTTAATCTTCTTTAACATGCCAAATTCTAAATTCTATTCATTCCTCCATAGCAAGCCAAAAGGTGTTAATCGAAACGTTGGTAGTTGATGTTTGCAATTTCGACCAAATGGCGAAGCTGAAAAATCGCTTGAATTTGAAGCCCTGAAAATGAGTATTTTACTAAAATATGAGTTAGGTCAATTATCAGAATATTTTAGGAATGTCACCTGACTCTGATCTCAACAATATGGATGATATTTTTCTGCATTTGGAAATGGAACTTCTATTGTGGGCAGGTTGTAAGCTTGTAAGGACGGATGCCGGTATAATTTGAAATGACAGTCCAGCCACTTCTTTTTTTGACCACCTGACGTGGGTCTAGGCGCCAAAAAGCGCGAGCTTTTGCTTTTAAAATATTTTTGTAATTTTTTTGATAAATTTTTGGAAATATTTCTTGGACCTAATGGGTAATCAAGTGTGATTAGGCACTAAACTAGTACGGAAGATTTCTTGAATCCATTAACCTTAAAAATGTTGTTCTTTTAATTTTCGGTAGTCTAATTTTTTAAGACTTAGAGATTGCCAATTGTAAAAATTATTACATAACTGGCTATGTTTTCAAAATTGATTTGCACATTGACCCGAAAAAGGTATTGGATCAAGCGTGAAAAGGGTGATTGAAAGTAAAAGAATTAACACATTTGGTTTTTTTCTTTTTAAATTAAATCAGGAGATTATTAGCTAAATAAAGTGGGAAATTGTTACCTGTTCAACGTGAAATAGAAACAAAATGGCCCAAATTTTCAAAAGAAACTAAATGGGCCCAACATGTGGAAATTACACCCAATTAGATTTTTTAAATTTGAAATTCAAAATTCAAACTTAAAATAAATTTAAAAAATCAGATAATAATTCAGTTTTTAATATTAGCCCATGTTTGAGCCACATTAAAATTTTTATTTTCATTCTTGTACTCATTTTCAACTACACATTCTTCAATAAAATAATATTTTTAATCACATCAATAATTTTTTCTTCTTTTTCAATTGCACATTCTTCATCAATCTATTATTTTAAAATATATTTTTTCAAAATAATATGGTTCAAAAACACCATTAACCCCACCCCACCCCATCACTTCCCAAACCTTAATCATTCACCTCTCGCTTCTTTCTCTATATCCTCATTCTCTCTTCTATATCTTTCGCACACACCGCCACCGGAGGCTGCCAACACCGCTTGTCGCCACCAGGCAAGCACCGCTGGTTGTTGCAATAGGACGCTGCGTCGTCGTACGCAACAGTGCCCTGACAGAGAATTCCGAAGTTGCGTAAAGGCCAATGCCTCGATGCAGCGGCGTCGTGGCGACTGTCGCGCACAGCACCAAGCTAGGATAGCTATGCTCTTCCTCTGACTTGCGTTAGGGTGTCTAGGTAAGCGGCGACGTGGTTTATGAGTGCTTCGGGTTTTAGGCGCGCAACATTGTGATTTGTAAGTGGTGGTGTTTCTTCCTCCGATCTGTTTTGGGTTGCTTTGGGTATTTGTTATGGGGCTGTCGGTGAGGTGGTGCTAGCGATTATTGTGAGTTTTTGTAGTGGTGGTGCTAGTAATGATGGTGCTAGCGGAGGTGGTAGCGAGGCAGCGCTAGCGACGACGGAGCAGGTAGTGCTAGCGGTGGTGGTGCAATAGTTTGTTGGTGCCGATAGTGATTTGGCGGTGGAATGGGTGACCGACGGTGGTTTGTGTTAAGGGTATGAGGTGGTGGTCTCAGCCGCAACGATGAAGTCTCTGCATCATTGTCGCTGATGTGCTGCTTGGATCTGATTTTTGGTAGTGTTTGGATGGTGGTTGTGATGTTGTCAGTGCTAGTGAAGTGGTGATAATGTTGGTGGTGGTGATCAACAGTGGTCGTCGCAGTGGTGCGGTGGTTTGTGGGTGGGATGGCGTGGGGTGGGGATGTTTGTGACCAATCATTAGGCTGATTGTGACAAAAAAAATTGGCTAACTTGTGACTAATAAATAATTTGTGATCAATTATTTGAGATTGTGACCAATAAATTGAATAACTTGTAACTAATAAATAATACGTGACCTAAAAATGTGAATCGTGATTTATAAATTTTGTTATTTGTGATCGATAAATAAATTGTGATTTATAAAAGTTTTGATTTTGTGATCGATGAATAAATTGTGATATATGAAATTTATAGTTTGCGATCGAGAAATAATTTGTGATCGAAAAATAATTCGTAACCAATTACTTCGATAATTTATGATCAAATTGTATAGATTTGTGATCTTAATATATTAATGAATTATTTCATAATCAAAATTTAATACTGTTTGATTTCTGAAATTTTAGACCTTATCATAGTTAACGGATTTTTTCCTTAATACATCGAAAAACCCTAACGTCACAAAATATGTTTATAGTCAAATTCGATCAANTAATCCACCCCCCCCCCCCCCCCCCCCCCCCCCCCCCCCCCCCCCCCCCCCCCCCCGGCAAAAAAAATAAATAAATTTGGCTTTGAGATCCAAATCTGAAATTTCTACTTTAACATCTATGTTGGCTTCTCATACACGTGCAAGTGTTCTATATTTTTTGCAATATTGTCTTACGCATATATACATTGCGCAGGACCCGGGCGGATGGTGGAGCTCTAGCGAACTTTGAAAGTTCGAAGCAGCGAGTTGTTTTATGTTTTAACTTCTTAGTTCCTATTTCATGCACCAAACCGATCAAATTGATTTCGTCTTCGGATCGAGCTCAAAACCAACCAAACTCGAACCATGTTCTGGCCTACTTATTAGTATATTTTTGGCAAAAGTTGATGAAATATGTTTTAAAACTAATTGTTAACTTTTACTTATCAAAATTTTAATTTTCACCAAACAATATGAACTGAACTTGCTAATTTTTCTTAGGAGAAGAACCAAAAACAGAAAGTTTTTTTTTTATTTAGTTGAATAAATTTTGACAAAATTATATCTCACCACATTATGTGTATCTATATTATTCGATCGCAGGTGGGTGGATTAATTGGGAGGGGTGGGTGAGTGAGATTGGTTGGAGAATGAAATATTTTGTAAATGTTTTTATGTGTTAATATGTATTTAATTGTTTTAGACGAGACTTATCTATATTTTTCAACATTTATAGACTCTACTTACAATTTTTTTCCTGTTGTTTTATTGTTTTCTTTTATTTTTATTTATTTAAAGAGAGAATTCGTCATTCTAATCATCAAAATGAAGAGAATAACAAATTTATTACATAATCGAAATGTTAAGAGTTGGCCTATATTTGAGCTCTTTTTTTTTTTTTTTTTTTCTGAAACTCATTGAAAAAAGAAGATAATTTCCAACCATACATTTTACCATAAAATAATTTCACTCATAATCTTTTAATTTTTTTTTTATTTTTTCAACCCCACACACACTCACACACATATATTTTTAAAAAGATTATTATTTCAAAACCTATTTTTCCCCAAAAATAGTATCAAACATGACTTGGGCATTGTTTGATAGTATTTATTTTCCATGGAATTAGGAATTGATTTTCTATTTTCCACATTTTTGCTTGTTTGGTAGGCAAAATTTTCTTGGCAAATTGTTTTTCACACAATCCCTTTTTTGTCATTTTTCTTGATTTTTGAGGAAAAAAAAATTTCCCTCCACTTATGTGAGAAAAGCTTTTTCTAGGCAACTTTTTCATTTTTTTTAATTTTGTTTCGACAATGAAAATAAATTTTATCCACAATTATAACAAATTCTATCACTTTAATGGATAATTTCCATAGAAAATAAAGCCAAACGAATATCAAAAGATTCAAAATTTCAATATTTTCCAGACAGAAAATTATACCAATCAAAAGCAATTAATTGATAATTCTCAGTAAAATAAGTTCTAAGCAATTCAATTTCCTACAATTCATTTTATTTCCACTTAAATTTCATTCTTACAATCAAACGAACCCTTAAATTTTTTAAGTTCTCGATTATTGAAAATAAAAAGTGCAAATTTCCCTAACGTTATTGTATTGTCATCTCTACCTTGGACTTGGACCATTGGATGAGGTTATCAATTATTTATTTATTCGGGAGCACGCGGAACATTCTAGAATATTATATATTCTAGAGCATTGTTTCCTAGCATGAATTATTTGACCGCGAAATATTCTAGTAAATATTTTAACCAACTCATAATGTATGGGCTATAGCATTTTATTTTGTTTTTGTTTTCTTCATTTCCTTCCCCGCGTGTATATAAATATATCTCGAGATAAAATTGTTTATTTCGAATCACAAAAAGTCTCGAGGCTATAAACACGTTCAAATATGCGCACCGCAAACAATTTTATCGCATTAAATTCAATAGACTCTTGCTAATATTATTCACATTTTCCTTTTCTTTTTGTTTCATATGTTTTATTTTATGCTTTTGAAAGAAAAAAATGCATTTCCTAGTAAGGACNTTTTGTTTTTGTTTTCTTCATCTCCTTCCCCGCGTGTATATAAACATATCTCGAGATAAAATAAAGAGCTTGTTTGGGAGGGATTTTTGGGGGAAGAATTGATTTTAAATAGTGATATGATGGAAAATGTGTGGTTGAAAAAGAAGAAAAAAGTATTGATGTGATGGAAAATATTATTTTATTGCAGAATATGTGGTTGAAAATGAGAATCGATTTACTGTAGAAAAATCTAAATATCTCCCAAATATGGCCAAAAGTCATAATTATTTTGGATTCACAAATTGTTTATTTCGAATCGAATCACAAAAAGTCTCGATGCTATAAACACGTTCAAATATGCACATCGCAAAAAATTTTATCGCATTAAATTCAATAGACTCTTGCTAATATTTTTCACATTTTCCTTTTCTTTTTGTTTCATATGTTTTATTTTATGCTTTTGAAAGAAAAAATGCATTTCCTAGTAAGGACATGATAATTATTTACAAAAAACTTAATTTTATAATTTTTTGACATTAGAGAGTCTAACCCTAATTCTCTTTGTATTATAATTATTGCATTAAATAAAATAATAAGTTCAATGATCAGCTAATTAAATTATTCATATTATATTGATTTCTTTTTCACATTAGCATCTAAAAATAAATACATTAATTGAAAAATGATGGAAAAATAAATGATTGTTCTAAGAAGTCAAAAGAACAAAATAAATTTTTTTTTTTTTGGACGGTATAAAAAAAATTACTCTTTATTAATAAAGATGATTTCTATCGTGACCAATATACTCATTAAAAAAACATAGCGATGGCCCTTCCCAGTTTGGTCCACATTTAGCCCCCGTTTTTTTCCATTACATTATATTAATTTTTTTTCTCTCTTTATCTTAACCACACATTTATCAAATAAAATAATATTACACACAAATCTAAAATTTTTCATTATTTTTCTATCACACATTCTCCCATCAATTATTATTCCAAAAATTTTCAACACCCCAAAATGGGGGCGAAACAGGGGCTTAATATTCATTTTTTTCGGAACTCAAATTGAACTATTATTTCTTTAGATTCATAACTTTTATCAATTATACTAAAATTCAAGTAGTGGATAGCAAAGTTGTTGAGAATTAATTTTTTTTTTTTTTTTGTTTATCAAATATTTTAAATTTTTTATGTGACACGTAGGGAAAGAAGAACTACCAAAATTACCAAAAATTCATTAGCATTAGAAAATAGGAAAGATATCCAAATAGAATGGTAGTAATTCGAAACAACAAAGTTAAAGTTAAAAGGGTAAAAAAAAAAAAAGAACCTTTTCTTTCCCAACAAGAAACGAGCCAATTTTACTTATAAATATCCTTTACCCAATCTCTAGATCTCCCATTCTTGTTCTTCAATCGACTAAAAAAACCCAAACCACTTCACCAGTTTTTTCTTCAATCTGCATATAATTCACCATGAGCAATCAAGCTGAATCCTCAGATTCGTAAGTCCTTCAATAGATTATCAGATCTCTGCTTATTTACATACGTATATGTACACTAAGAAGTATTTTTACCTTTATTTGATTTTTTATTGAATTTTGTGGGTTTTGTTTATTGTGTGCAGTAAGGGTGCGAAGAGGGATTTCAGTACGGCGATTTTGGAAAGGAAAAAGGCGGCGAATAGGCTGGTAGTGGACGAGGCTGTTAACGATGATAATTCCGTGGTGGCTCTCCACCCTGATACTATGGAAAAGCTTCAGCTTTTTCGAGGAGATACCATCTTAATCAAGGTTCGATCTTGTTCGTCTTTTGTGATTTTAGTGTTTGAATTAATAAGTGGGTTGTTTTCTTTCTTCTGTACTATGTTTGATTTTGTATGATTTTGAGTGTTGATTGTGATTGGGAAGTTGAGGGTGTTGTTGAATTTGGGGTTTTGTATGGAGGATTTTTGGAGTTCAAATCTAGGCAATTTTAAAGTTTTAACGAAATTTGGCCTCTTAGACATAATAAAGTTTTAAAGTTTGTTCTTTGGCTGACAATGTGTTAGAAGTTGGATGTTTACAGGTACACCTTGGATTCTGCAATCTTTTTGGCTTTTGTTTTTTTTAAAGCCTCTAAGATTGGGTCTCTTTAATCTGTCTTCCTTTCTTCCATTGAAACTTTTTCAAACGAGTATCATTATAGCTGAACCAGAAGAGGTGATTTAGAGTATTAAACTTGCTGTGTGTAATTGGAAATTACTGTTGTGGAGTGTTCTTTTAGCAGACAGGTTATATTTGCCAAAACAACGTATCGATTTCTTGGAGCTTTAGAATTATGTAAAATAATTTGAATACTTCAGAATGTCTCTGTACTAGAGTGGATATTTTAGTTTTTGTAGACCTTGGGTTGATTTAAGGACTTCAATGCTAATGTCTTGAGACTTATGTTTAATACGATTTTCCATAGTTATATGTTTGTTAATTTTATTCTGATTTTGTGTGTAGGGTAAGAAAAGAAAGGACACAGTTTGCATTGCACTTGCTGATGACACTTGTGATCAACCAAAGATTCGGATGAATAAGGTTGTGAGAACCAACCTCAGGGTTAGGCTTGGAGATGTGGTTTCTGTTCATCAATGTGCTGATGTCAAGTATGGGAAGCGTGTCCACATTCTTCCCGTGGATGATACCATTGAAGGTGTTACTGGAAACCTGTTTGACGCTTACCTAAAACGTAAGTTTCTAAAGCATTTAAATATGTGTGGCTTGTCGAAGTCTTTTAGTCTAATTAAACATTTCTGCTGTTTCCTTTCCGATACTATAGATCCTTGTTATTTTGTGGCGAATTCAAATTTGGCATGTTTCTAAATTCTAATTCGGCAGATTAAAGTTTTTCAGCATTTGATGGATGCCTTTCCTTTTTTTATTTTTATTTTTTACAATTTTAAACCATACTTCTCAATTGTTATAATAGTAAATTGCTTTAGCGGATCACAAACAAATTAATTCTGGGAACTGGGAAGTGGTTTGTCTGCTGTAGCCATGACTACGACAATATGATTGACTTTCATTGGATTGTTTTTCTCATTTGAATATAGCACGGTAGCCTTACATTAATAGGGTTCCCAACTAAAACAGTAGTAGAGGAAGAAAAGAGCTTCTTTACGCATGGTAGAATCAAAGAATGAAAGTTAGCAGCCCAATTATTTTAAGACATGCTTACATCTTTTAACTTTTTCATATTGTGTATCATTTGATACAATATTTCATCTTTTTTTCCCTTAATTCTTAGAATAGGCAATGTATTTATTCTTTTCTGTTTTGTCCGCAGCATATTTTCTTGAGGCATACCGACCGGTAAGGAAGGGCGACTTTTTTCTCGTAAGGGGAGGAATGAGAAGTGTAGAATTTAAAGTTATTGAGACTGATCCTCCTGAGTACTGTGTTGTCGCCCCCGATACTGAGATATTCTGTGAGGGAGAGCCTATCAGAAGGGAGGACGAGGATCGGTTGGATGAGATTGGCTATGATGATGTTGGTGGTGTACGTAAACAGATGGCGCAGATTCGGGAGTTAGTGGAGCTGCCACTCAGGCACCCACAGCTTTTTAAATCAATTGGTGTCAAACCTCCTAAAGGAATACTGCTTTATGGACCTCCAGGATCTGGGAAGACATTAATCGCCCGAGCTGTTGCTAATGAAACTGGTGCTTTCTTCTTCTGTATTAATGGACCAGAAATTATGTCAAAATTGGCTGGAGAAAGTGAAAGCAATCTCAGAAAAGCATTTGAGGAAGCTGAGAAAAATGCACCATCAATCATATTTATCGACGAGATTGATTCAATTGCTCCCAAGAGAGAGAAGACTCATGGAGAGGTTGAGAGGAGGATTGTTTCCCAACTCTTGACGCTGATGGATGGACTCAAATCTCGTGCTCATGTTATTGTAATGGGTGCCACAAATCGCCCTAATAGCATTGACCCTGCCTTGAGAAGGTTTGGGAGATTTGACAGGGAAATTGACATTGGTGTTCCAGATGAAATTGGGCGTCTTGAAGTTCTTCGTATACATACCAAGAACATGAAGCTTGCTGAAGATGTATGTTCAAATATCTCGATTTCCAAGATTTTTGTTGGATTCTATCTTCTTTCCTACTTCATAGTAGACTTAGAAATGTCATTCTAATCCCTGAAACATTTCCCAGGTTGATTTGGAAAGAATTTCCAAAGACACACATGGTTATGTGGGTGCTGATTTGGCAGCTCTGTGCACTGAGGCTGCCCTTCAATGCATTAGGGAGAAGATGGACGTCATTGACTTGGAAGATGATACCATTGATGCAGAGATACTCAACTCCATGGCGGTTACTAATGAGCACTTCCAGACTGCTCTTGGAACTAGCAACCCCTCTGCTCTACGTGAAACAGTAAGTGTAGTTTTTTCTTTTATTCTTCTATCCTGTTTGATTCATGCTCAACAGATCCTAATTTTACATCTTTGGATGCTACAGGTTGTTGAGGTACCCAATGTTGGTTGGGAAGATATCGGAGGCCTCGAGAATGTCAAACGTGAGCTCCAAGAGGTACCATTTTATTCATTGTCTATGGATTCTGGTTTTAATTATTTATACATTGACCAAATTTATTGTCAGAGTAGAAATATCTCTTTGAAACTTAACTTTTGGATGCACCATTTGTTATGTAGACTGTTCAATATCCAGTGGAGCATCCTGAGAAGTTTGAGAAGTTTGGCATGTCACCTTCAAAGGGAGTTCTTTTCTATGGCCCCCCGGGATGTGGAAAGACTTTGCTGGCCAAGGCTATTGCCAATGAGTGTCAGGCAAACTTCATCAGTGTCAAGGGTCCTGAATTGCTCACTATGTGGTTTGGAGAGAGCGAGGCCAATGTTAGAGAAATTTTCGACAAGGCTCGCCAATCTGCTCCTTGTGTCCTATTCTTTGATGAATTGGATTCTATTGCTACCCAGGCACGTATCACTTCTCTCAGATGTGAATTTTGTTTCTGCATGAGGTTCTAGTTCCTTACTCGCACAGGTTTTCTTTTCTTTTTTTCTTGCAGAGAGGAAGCAGTGTAGGAGATGCTGGAGGTGCTGCTGACAGGGTATTGAATCAACTTCTAACAGAAATGGACGGAATGAATGCAAAGAAAACTGTCTTCATTATTGGTGCCACGAACAGACCTGATATAATTGATCCTGCACTTCTTCGTCCTGGACGTCTTGATCAATTGATTTACATCCCTCTCCCTGATGAGGAGTCGCGCCTACAGATTTTTAAGTCTTGCTTGAGAAAATCCCCTCTTTCCAAAGATGTAGACCTGACAGCCCTTGCCAAGTACACTCAGGGTTTCAGTGGTGCTGACATTACTGAAATATGCCAACGTGCAGTCAAATATGCTATCAGAGAGAACATCGAGAAAGTAGGTTTTATCAGCCTTCTTTCCTTTCATGGTTAATCGTGCTGTTGAATATTGATTTTGAATTCTGTGTAATATTTTCGAGACACGTATAATTTTAAAGAATGGAGTTTGTGTTTGTTTTTTGAAGGATATTGAGAGGGAGAAGAGAAGAAGTGAGAATCCCGAGGCCATGGAGGAGGATGTTGAAGAAGAAGTGGCAGAGATTAAACCTGCTCATTTTGAAGAATCGATGAAGTTTGCCCGGAGGAGTGTCAGTGATGCTGACATTCGCAAGTACCAGGCATTTGCTCAGACGTTGCAGCAGTCAAGAGGGTTCGGAACTGAATTCCGATTTGCTGAGACCAATGCCGGTGCTACTGGGTCCGATCCTTTTGCTGCTTCTGCTGGTGCAGCTGATGAAGATGACCTATATAGTTAGGTCGTTTATCTACTTCTACGCGTTATGATACTCTTTCTAGCTTATGTTTTATTAATGTTTACAGAAGGATTTTATCATATTAAAGTTGTATCTTAATGTTTCATAATTTAGTACTTTGAAGATTGGAAAAAATGGTGAAAATGATTATGACTTTCTTTATGATTATTATTGTTGTTGTTGTTGTTTTAATTGTGTTTTCCACACTTGACACCCACACCCTGTTGATTTGGCAGATTTGAGCCTAAAGCAAAGTTCTGTAACATCTGTGCATTCTCCTGAATAGTTTTTAAGTTAACCTGTTTTGTTTGCTTCAATCCAACAGTGCTAATACTTATTCATATGTGATTCATGTCATCTTATGATTAAGCTAAACCAAACTTGGATTAAGGATCTGTATACGATTTTTGCTTCTTGTGGAATAAATTTTTTGAGAAAGTTAACATTATTTGTAAATTTATTTTTAAAAGAGCATTCTCTTTAGTTTTTAGGAGTCATTGAATTAATTTTCTCTAAAAGTTATTTTAATTAGAAGAAACACTTTCAATAAATTAATTGGGTTCAAAAGGAAATATTAAACTTTTTAAAATACACGTCAAACTAAACCTTAAGATATGCTGATCAGATTCAAAATTTAACTTAGATTGGATCCAAGTCATCTTATCACAAGTTGCAAGTTGGCCCAACCACATCTGTTTGTATACATAATTCAACAAATATTCAATTAAGGATAAAATTACTTTGCCAGAAAGTTTGACATAATTATATGTGACAGTAGATGATTGAATGAAAAAATTGATTGTGTTTTAAAATATTCAATGATAGAATGTCACGTGACATTATGTCAAACTTTATGTCAACTCTGATGTTCATGTAGCATGAAAAATTATAAATAACAGAGAAAAAAACGTTTGTCGAAGAAGAATCTCTTATTCGATGATTTGATTACATAGAACTTGTTGTATTTATACAAGTAATTTCTACTATATTGACAAAACATTATGAGGAAAGAAATAAGTAAAATATCCTACATTGATAACAGAATCCATAATATTGTCAAATATTATATTACTATGATGTTTTCCTATTATGGAGATAAAACTTTAACACTTCCCTCAACTTGGAGCATGAATGTTTGAGATGCCCAATATGCCCATATGACTCTTGAAAAGTGACTTTCCAATAGCTTTTGTAAACATATTTTGGTATTCGTCTTGTCGAATTGACAAACTGCATGGTCAAACGTGCTTTGATCTTCTCTCTAACTAAGTGGCGGTCCATTTCGATTTGTTTTGTTCTTTCGTGGGCTCAATTATAATTAACAAACTCAGTATATATCGAAAGTAAATAAATTAGTTGAGAGATTTGTTGGGGTCTGACCTTAAGAACTACCACGAACTAAATGATTAAAGAGAATTTAAGTACACAACTTTGGATAAAGGTTAGCCTGTGAATTAATAGTCAAGTCGACAACAAGTCGCCATTTCAATATATATAATTATTACCCAACCGAATGTTTGCTCCCGATGACGCCAACACCCCCAACAACCATTCCAAACAAGATAAGTGACACCTTTCACGCCAACACCATATTATTTACCAATTAGGAGAAAGTATTAAAATCATGACATGGTCACATCTAAGACTAGGTGCAATGATAGCCTAATTGGTCGAATTTAACATCCAATCAAATTCCTTCAAATAGGATAATGACACACAAGTCAAGGTCAAACGCTGTAGTATGATGTGACAAAGGGCGGCAAGCCTTTGATTAGAGGATTATAAATAGGGGCAATGGTTTATTACAAAAAGGCCGAGTTAAGCATTCTTTTGAAAAATATTATGCACACACTTTTAATGAGGTTTTTCTCTTTCTTTTACAATATTCTCGCAATTATTCTACTAAATTTACTTTAAATTGTTCTAATTCTATAAATTGTCACGTCAATTTTAATTATGAACCAGATCCAACTCAATTTTGGATATAATAGCCAAATCAACAAGTATAAATGCAAGGCAACTTCAAGTTAAAGATTTTAAGTTAATCGTTGAGAGGCATATTCCTGCAATGAACAAGATAGTTCGACTCCAAATCATCTAGAGTGGAAAGTGATAATAATCCATTTCGGTCAAACATCATACATACATAACTATTACTCTTTTGTTATCTACACGTTCTATAAGACTCTTATCTTACAATCACTTCATTTAAATTCAATCACTTGCCAAACATGCATTTGGAACTATGTTTGGCATAACTTATGTTATAACTTTGGTCAAACATATTTTTTTTTATCTACATATTCATAAAATCCATAACTTATTACATACTTATTATTCACGCATTTCATATGATTCACAACTTATAAGCAACTATCAAAATATGCTAAAGTATGAATTAATTATTTTTAGCATATTTAATTATCACTTGTTAGTATTTGAATCCCAATTTAAATTGTGAATCTCAAAATTTTAGTAGTGGTATAAAGTACTTTATACTTCAAAATTACTTTAAAAAAAGAAAAAAAATTCAGTAAGACCCACGACTTATATTATAGAATAATGATATTCATCTCCACTGGAGTTGAACATCAATTTATGTGACAGTTACATGACATTAAATAATAAACTGAATTAAATGAGTCATGTGACTTTGTATTTAAATGAATCTATTATTTAATGTCATGTAATTATCATATAGACAGAGGCTCAACCCCAATGAAGATGAATAGCATTACCTATATTATAGGTGCTACTAAACGATGTGGAAGTATGAATTTATTTATTTTTTAAATAAAAGTGCAATTATAACGTGTCTGGTGGGATCCATGATGACTGATTAGTGATTACTGTTGCAGACGAAGATATTAATTCTATTGGTAAAGACACACCCATTAGTCTGAGACTGTGGGCCCAAAGCCCATATGCCAAAACATAAATAGATGTTATCACCTAGAAAACGGACCCCACTCGGTCTTTTGTGGGGCCATTTGTCTCCTAACTATAACATAAACTCAGTTTTACTTACAATGTCCTAATTCCTGAGTACCAAAAACCCTAGTCCTCTTTTGTCCTCTCTCCACTGCGCTCCGCCCAACACATGGCTTCGGAAACGGCCCTCTACAAACTCTCATCTGATAACCACAGCCCGATGCCAGTGCAACCCTCCCGCCACCACCTTGTTCAGCCACTCAGGACTGTCCTTCCACATCCCGCCATCGCCGCTGCTGTTGAGTCCTCTGCTGCTAAACCTGCTAAAACGAAGTTGGGTCTTTCAAGAACTGCAAATGGGTCTTCGTTGACAACCAAGGACAGGCACACTAAAGTCAATGGCCGGGGCCGCCGAGTGAGAATACCGGCTTTGTGCGCCGCCCGGGTGTTCCAGTTGACGCGGGAACTTGGCCACCGCTCTGACGGGGAGACTATCGAATGGCTTCTCCGCCAAGCCGAACCTGCTATCATCGCCGCAACCGGCACTGGTACTGTCCCTGCTGACAACATTTCCACCGCCCCCACCATTCCCCTGTCTCGCTCTCCCGCTTCTGTACAGGCTCCGGTGAATAAGGTGCTGCAACCAATGCTTCCGCCGAGCTGTAGGCTGGACCTCTGCCAGTCGTCGCCGCCGCCGCCACCAATGGGGCTGGAGTTTGATCCCAATGCGTATCGCCATATGCCGTTCACGGCTCTGCTACTGCAGCCTGCGGTTGAAGAGGAGGAGGAGGAAGCAGAAGAGAGGCACCGTGGAGTAGTTGAGGATCATTAGATACTAGTAATTTAATGGCAATAATGGATAGGTAAAACATAATCAGGGCCATTTAAGGAATAAGTTGAAAATGGGTCTCATCTCGTCTTGATTATTCAATTCTTTATGTGGTCAAATGACGAACGAATATGAGAAATATGTACATTATTGATAATTATATAATGGCTCCTATTTGCACAAAAAAAATTCTTTTTAACTCCCAATCCAACAAGAAACAAAATGCTGAAAACTAACCTTTTTTTGTGGGTTTCAATTCATTAGATTACATTGTATTCTATTGTATTTATTGTTATTAAATTCAAAGGAAATAACTATCTTTACGATGGTTTCAAAGTTCAATAGAATTGGACGGTGCTAAGAAAGAAAAAGAATTTCCGATGTTGTAGGCCAAAATCGCACCAACGGTTCAATCAGCTATTGAGAGCAAAATTTACTTGTTTTGTGAAAGAGATTGGGCAGCCATAGCCAAGAAACAATTTGACTATGGCTATTCTATTTCTAGCATGTGATGGCACCGCCATGGAACTCAGTAAATATATGAAAGGTAAATGTGATGGCACATTTGAAATGGCTTGTAGAAGGATTTCTTAGTCAAACATGGTTTATTTTATAGTGGACCACTGCACTGCCATGGCCCATGGGACGCGGTATATATGAAAAGGCTAGGCAGTACCTGTGTGGACCACTGAATTTCCTTCTGTGGTACTCTGCTGTTGCGATGAATACAATTTTCATATTCAAACCACCCCACCAATTTAAATTTGGCTATAAGCCAGAAGCACAATAATAGCACCGCGTTTGCAATAAGAAAATGCTATATAATGTTACTGATATAATTATATATGAGTACAGAAAAAATATATAGTGATTGATAAAAAAAAAACAGTATTAAAGTTCTTCTCCATAACTGTACAACTGAAACAGAGCCACAGAGGTACAGCAAAAATCAGCCTAAGAAAGATTATGGAGATATAACCAAAATGGGAACTAAATACTTTCCAAGTATAGTTCAAATGGTTAAATACTTCTAATGCTTGTTACGAAAGTTCCACCACTTCTTCTTCTTCTTGAAATCACTTGGGGGCAAATCTGAAAAATGAAATATAACTTAATTGGATTAGTATGGACTGAAAAGCAAGTTGTATTTAATATTAACTTGTGGATTTCATAAATTAGTGATTTAGAAAGCTCAGTATAATGCATAATGTCATGCAAAAACCTTGTTTATTGAAGTTAGGTTAACATTAAACACAAATTGCATGTGAAAATGTTTCATTTTGCTCTCCTCTTATTCCCAGTGTCTTTTAGATCTTTTAATCAAATCAAGAGAGATTACTTATCAAAAAAAAAATCAAATCAAGCGAGATTGATTACCTCCTTGAGGATAGATTGAGTTGTAATGTACTTCTGCCCAGAAACTCAAATATATGACTGCACAAGAACAGGCATAACTAAGGCAATAAACCATGCCAAGGGAGAAATAAGATTCAGCAAAATCAGTCCTATGCCTGATTGTGTGTTAAAACAGATTCTTAAATTGATAAACGCATAAGGTGTACAACACAATCATACGTGAACAAAAAAATGCACCGCGTTTGCAAAGTTGAGAGTGAATGTCTAAACTAGATGGAGTTCTGGTACTTCCATACACTTACTTCCCTTGCAAACTTTATCCAAACCCACCCACCCACAAAAATAAAATAAAATAAAATAAAATAAATGATAAATAACTAAATAACTTGCAATTTACAAATAGAAAATGTGAGGTCTTAAGAACAAGTCTCATGAGGAGCAGGGGGTGTGTGTACAGATTTGGAGTTAATTCAATATTGACAAATAATCGGTGGAGTTTCACACAATGTTACTTGGTATGTGTTGTTTTTGCTTTGAAGTGCAGAGACCATTTTCCAATGAGCATTGAAATTCTTACATTACTTTCACAAGAATATAGATATTCTTACATTCCTTTTCTTTGATAAGCTAGTCAAAATATTTTGATTAAGAAACTTTCTGCAATTTGACCCGCATGACCGGTTGCTACTGTGAGCCCTGAAGAGTGCTATTTAAGTTTGGTTTTTCCATCTAGCTGGAGGCTGAGTTTTGCCATTTTTCTGACATGGGAATTGTGAGCACACGAGTGAGCATTCCATGTGCCCTAAACATTGTTCAATGTGTGGAGCCTAATTATACTACACCCATTTCCTTGAGGTGAAAGCTTTCAAGTGTTATAGGGGTAATTTAGAAAACTCACACATGTATTAGGTCACCCTAATATTTCCTCCTATATAAAGGGTATTAGGGCAAGACTCTTTTGGTCATTGAGAAAAAGAGAGGCTTGAGTCTAGAAACAAGTTATAATTCTCTCCTTTGATATATAAATTTCTGTAGCGGCATCAAGTCGATGTAACTCTCGCACTGCAAGTGAACCACCTTAAATCATGTGCCCCTCTTTCTTATGTTCCCTGTTTCAGGTTACTTATTGCTCTCAGTAGTACGGATTAATGATATTTCCCTTTCCCAAAGAGATAGAAATATTATTGCAGCATGAAGCATGCCATCAAATCATTAAAACAACAAGAATCTCAACTGTCAATCGCCCGACTAGCCTATAATTAATACTCTATCAATCATTGGCAAGAACTACAACTATTAATTCGTGTAACAATTAATAACGCAATATTAAGAAACCCAAACAGTTACCTCTTTTTGACTTCTGGTCCTTGGGAAGAATCTCAATGTAACAGGTGTCTTTAAATGAAGTTAATACAAGAATTTTCACACCATACTGACAACAAAGAAAGATAGGATTGGTCAGTTATAATAACATATACCATCACTTAAATGAATGAAAAAAGATAACAAGGTATGGTAATGAATACTGAATCAGCAGCAGCCTGCAGTGTGACGTGATCACCCCACTCCCCGCTCCTGTACATTAAATATTCAAAAGGTAAGCATTAAAGCGATTTCCAGCACAAAGGGAAAAGAAATTTAACTATTGATATAAAAAAACAAGGCAAAGACTTTAATAGTACTTGGACATCCTATTCAGGTATTCACCATATTCCATGGGAACATATCCCTCGTAAATTTCTGGATGAGCTTTAAGCTGAAAATACCCAACCAATGTATAGGAAAACAGAAGCATTAGATGAACTGCAGGAAAAGAATCCAAGTATACAGCAAGAAATAAATCATGAAAAAAAAAAATTTATAACTAAAAGACAACCTGATGAACAACTTGCTGTCTCACAAATTCGTGGTGCTCAGGAGTTCGATAGAATTGATCAGATAAAGCACGGAGCTGGAGGAAAGAGAGGAAAGGTAAAGCATAGTTATCTAAATAAAAAATCAAAGGTTATCGAAACATATAGAAAAATTTCTCATTGCTATGCTAAAGCAGAAATAACCAGAACAACTTCAGATGATCAAACTTACCACGACTTATGTTTCTAATGCAATGAAAACTTATAAGAAAGATAAGGGGCCATGGCTTTTGAGACCCAAAAATTGCTTTTGAAACTGTTTGACCAATTTTATAAAAGTGTTTTTTTTAATTAGAAGAGTTTTTTTAAGAAAGTTGATCAAATGTGCCTCTTCTAGAAGCACTTCCAGAATAGGAAGCTCTTTTAAAAATTAGTTTCTAAACAAAAATAAAGGCAACTTCCTCCAAAAGCTCTTCTACAAGAGGCAAAACCAAAAGAAAAAGCAAAAGCAAAAGCCATGCCACATGGGTCCAAAAGCCAACATATTTCCAAATTCAAGCATAGAATTCAAGAACCAACAGAACTGCCCAAGAAAAGCATGCAGGGACATGAAAGACAAAATAACTAATCCTGATAAAGAATCAATTGACATGCTGAATGGATGAAAAGGGCACGTGATGGAGAAACTTCGCTAGAGATTTTTTTAGTAAATCGTTAATTTTATTGTAAAACAATTAACAATACAGCCCTTCAAATCCATATTAACATAAAAATACTAAAGAAGACTCAAGTGTTTTCTTGAATGTCTTTCGGTGTGGTACTCAAAAATGATTTGCATACTACATAAAAGGATGGTTATATTCTATGGAAGTGAATAAGCTGTATGTAACATAGTTCTTCTTCCCAGCAATTAATTTTTGCATTAGATATAACTAAAGAGATGACTCTGGGAACATTTTACTTTAGACTTCCTTTACGACAAAGACGGGGCAGTCATCAACAAAATGTTTTCGGGAAAAAAAGATGTATCAATTGACCTGACAGTTCCCATCTCCTTGAACTTTGTGCTCAACCAAGTCGTATACCTGCAATCTGAAACCAAACACCATCCAACACCAAATCCTGATCATATGTTCCGCTCATTCACTTATCATGAAGCACAACAGAATGCATAACTCATGAAAACAAACAATGCAATTCAGGTCTTACCATCTGCAAAAACCCAAGTGAGCCATAGTGGATATGCATGATGGGTCAGGCCGTACAGAAAAAGGCTTATAACTAACAAAATATAAATTTGGCCAGAGTGCAAAGGCTTATGTCTAACAAAACATAATTTTGGCCAGAGTGCATGGATTCTCGTGTATTTCACAGTAACTTCAAATACCACCATATCAAGAGAGGTTGGAACCAGTGGGTAAGTCATCAAACACTGGCAAGCAGTCACAGTTCAAGTCTCAAGGGGTGACACAAACAGGGGATTCAGTAAATATTCGAACACTGGCTATCCCCTACTTTCTTAGCCCATGAGTGCATGGAGGAGTTTCACGTATTTCTCAGTAACTTCAACAACCACCATAGCAAGAGACCAACACTTGGTTGGAACCAGTGGGTAAGTCATCATACACTGTCAAGCAATCACAGTTCAAGTCTTGAGGGGTGATAAGGGATTTGGAAAGTATTTAAACACTGACCATCTCTATTTTCTTAGCCCATTCCATGTCCTCAACTATGGTAACTGAGCCAGTTCCAGATTCAAATGTACACTAAACGAGATATGGTTAACGTCTTTCA